CATAAGCGTTAAACTACAATATACCTACATGGATTTAACATAAGAGATCAAAACCAATCTCGAAACTAGTTATTACATTAAATTTCCCAAATCGAACATAAACCCATAAGAACACAAAGGAAACTTACTCAAAAGGGAAAGCAAATCAGACAAAACAATACCCTTTTTACACAGACATCAATTTGTAAAGAAATTAAAATATAATTACAGCAGAACATTTTTTTTTAAAGAGGGAAGAAGAAAGATAGATACCACTTTCTTCCATGGAGTAGGAGTTGGTATCTCAGTGCACATGAACTCTCCTATGTAGGTCATCTTCTCTCTCTCTCTCTTTCTCGCTCTATCTATCTCTTCAACCTGACACACAAACAAACTCTCTCATACTTCTCTTTTTAAAGAAAATTTAAGGTCTTCCTTTCCTTTATTGGTATGCTGCATTGTGATCCAAATAGATATGTATTTTTGCATGTTCTGGTCTCAGTATTGTTTTAATAAGATTATATTCTATATTTGTAATATGTTTCTTCTTCTAATAATATTTCATTCCTTCTTCTGTCAAAACAAAGATTTGTTTCTTACATTGTGGGGACAATGCTAGTTCAATGACAGACCTCTTTGAGATATCAACACGTGTTCTAGATTCACGGCGAATATTCTTTTCCTCTGTTTATTCCCACTCTATACTATAATGGCCCAAGCTCATGGGCCATAATACTTTGCTTGAGATTTGTGTGTGTGTATGTCTATCACATCAGTGTGTGTGATTGGGACAGAAGAAGCACGACATGTCTCTGATTGAGATACAATTCAGTAATCTACATGATAATAGCCCAAGTTTATCAGCCCAGATACATGATAATGAAGCAGAGCTTAACCCTTAGCAAAGAATTAGAATATGTTAGGAAATGTCATATCAACAGATCACCAGGAGGAGGTACAAGTCAAGACAAGAGAGACAGACAAGACATGTGACACTTGTCTTAGAATTGAGATACTGATTGGTGGTCTCAAATCCACATATCATTAGACTGAAAGATGGTACAACAAAGAGATTTTTCTCATTTAGGATGAACATTTCCGGTTTTCTCCAACAATTTCCAAGTGAAAGATGGTACTACAACAAGGGACTTCAGAAACCGAAACCAAAACCAAAACAAAATAATCGGAAATGTCCGAACTAGTGTGTGTGTATGTGTGTATGTCTTTCAAGTCTTGTTCATCAGTCATATAGACCATCTTGTTCCCAAATCTCCACTAGAAAATCCACCATCTCCTGTTTACATCAACAGCAACAAACAATCAACCGACCAGGAGTTTCCCTTAATGCCAGAGAGTTTGATTAAAGTACACTTACATTGAGAGGAATGGGTTGGGTAAATAACTTGTTGCTCCCAAGCAAGCTATCATATGATGCTGCGTTCCAACTGCAAATAAATAAAACGTTAAGCATCTTCAGTCTTTTAGCTTTGGCTTTTAAGGAGACAGACAATAATGTGTAATGAAAGCAACTCACTTTATCTTAGCTCTTTGCTTGCGTTCCGGTGAGTCACTGCCTCTTTCCTTCCCCACCCAACGCTCCCTTGTCTGATTCCAAAGAAGAAGACCTACATACACACACACAGAAGACCCACCTCATTATCTAACCATCTCAAACACACAAAATCCGCAAAGGGAAAAGTTACCTTGGTTTACAAACTCAGGAGGGGGATTTAAGTTTCTAGAAGCAGACTGAGAATCAAAAGTCTGGTTGGATGATGACAAGCTCCCCTGAGAAGGGAAGGTGTTGTTGTCCATATCAACAGTGCTTGTTGACCAAAAATCTTCAGAAACGGCTCTCGGATGTTTCTTTTGAGCTATGGAACTAAAATGTGGAGGATCCTTCAGAGTTTCAGTTTCTCTGCTGCGTTCTCTGTAGCAAGCCGCACAGCCACTGCTCTGTTACAAAACCACACAGACAACTTCTCATCATCTCCCAACACACATCCTTTTTTAGTTTCAAATTGATTATGTAAGCCCAAAAAGCTATATTAGCTAGGGTTTATCACAAATCTGAATCAATCAAACACAAAATGTTCTGCATAAAGACAAAAACAGAAACTGGAAGGAGAATCTCACCCCATTGATTGAAATAAACGATTTATTAACCCAGAAGCTTCGATAGATCTGCAAGCTCGAGACTTTCAATGACCCTTCATGATACAGAGAAGAACCAATCAACGTATGTCTCTAATCAAGAATCTATGGATTAGTAAATAACTTACCTTATGATAAAATCTCCTTTGGTTATAATAAAGTCGCTTCCTTTTTCTGAAAATCGACAGCTTCTTCACGAAGAAGAAGAAGGGCTTCCTCTGCCCTTACGTTTTCTCTTTTTCCTTTTGCTTTGAAATGATTTGCTTGATCAGACAAGTTATCATTCATCCCTGTCGCTCCTGCCGTTATACGGTTTGTTTACCCCTGGCTCTAAGGCTATTCTTGTCATTTTAAATAACACAACAAAGATCAAGAACTTATTACAAAATTTTAATAATTGAAGAATCTATAGACAGTATGTCTTGTAAGTAATTATGTAGATCGTCTTGTAATTATGTAGATTGTGTGTTTGGTGAACTGATAATTGAAAGTCAATAATTAATAATCGAGTGGATTTTCCATGCCTTCTCCATTGGCATACTCATCATACATTACATGCAGCTTGTACTCATAATTTATTATAAACGTTGTTTTAAAACACATTTAATATAGTATAAACTTTTTATCATTGTATTGAATGAATCAAATAAGCTGGAATCAATATCAAGCATATCATGATAAAAAGAATGGATAGCCATTTTGTAAGAAGAATATGATTCGTTTTTGTGTAGAGTAGATGTCAACTCTTAAGTATCAAGAAGATGCTTCAAGAAGCTTGCTTCAAGAGGAAGAAAATTCATGTGCAGCAGCAGCAACATTTCTTCCATCTGTAGCAGCAACACAAGTAAACTTTGCAATTTGAAAACCCTGAAAACAACCAAGAGCATACGGAACTACACTTGTTATTATTCGTTTTCTCCTTCACCTTCTCCTTCTTGTTCTTTCTTGTCTTCTTTCTCTTCTTCTTGCTCTTTTTCTCCACAACAGGAAGGGTAATAGATTGAGGTTTCGGCTGCGCTTGGTATAACTGAGCAAAACTGACCGGGTATGAGTAAGCTGGAGGAGTTGGTGATGATGATGACGACGACTTCTCTTGATTTACGTCAATACTCTCCACCGACGACGATGTCTCTTTCTTTTTCATCACATGACTTATCTCCTCTTCTTCTGGATCCTCATACTTGATTTTCAGAGACGGTGAGTAAGCTAAGAACTCACGGGACATCAAAAGAAGATCTTCAGGGTTTAGATTACTCTGACGAAACGCGTCAAAGTTTGACATTCTCAGACTAAACAATGAATCGTCACTCCAGTTCAAATCCTTACCCTTCTTGCCAAACACCGACGCTGGGATTCTCTCAGGGTCGTAAGGCGACCCTGGTTGGAACTTGGAAGGTGGAGACGGAGCAGGCTGCATCGTTACATGAGTTAGACACGACATTTCAGAGCCTCGTGAAGAAGCTTTCATAAGTTTCCCTTTCTGATCAAAAGATGTTTGGGATGCTTTCATGTTTATCTCTATTGCTTCTTCCGACAACGCACAAGAAGAGGAAGATAGTGAAGAAAAGGATAGAGATGATGACGTTAGGAAGATTTCCCTCCCGGGTTTTGAACCTCTTGGACCAGTCATTTGTATGTACTCTTACGAGACGTGGGATGAACACTAGTAACTTTGTTTTGGTGCTTTTTGAGTTCGGCCTATAGCATTGTTATCAGATTCAATTTGTGGAGAAAAGAGAAAACAAAAAGGAACATTTTATTATGGAGACAAATCTGAAAGTGATAAAAGAAAGAGATTACAAACCAAACAAACAGCCTTCAATTTAGTAAATGGATGTTGATCAGTTCAATAACAGATGACCGTTGATCGGTTGAATAAACATTTTTTTTGGTGGTTTCGAAAGACGTTAGCAAATGACTCAGACCAAACTTCTATTTCTGGGTTAATTTCACCTGCCCTTCGCGCCATTACTGTTAAACCTAACTTGTCTATGCTGGGCGTCTGTTTATGTGTATGGTTAATGTTAATACATCGGTATGGCCCAGTTTAGGCCCATATTAACTTAAGCGAACACGTCATAATATCTATTTTGCCTTTAGGTTGAAAACACCTTTGGCTTCTTGTCAAATATGTTCCTCGTTATTTGGATGTTTCAGAAAATTCAACCACGTGATTTTCGTGTTCCAAAATATTTAAGTGAGCTTATGTTCAAAATATCCAGCATTTATTTTTATTTTATAAGTTGATAATATATAACCATGACGCATATATGCATGTGTCTATAGGATTATAGCCACGAAAGATGGGTCTTACTTCAGAAAGTTTCAGCTGAGGGATTCAAGATTTAATACTAAGAACATCATTATTTCATTTTTTTTTTTATGGATTGTTTAGTCACTTTTTGTGTGTGGATTCCATCAAAAGCATAATCAACTATTTCTAAATATGTTAAAATAAATAACTGATTTAGAGTGTTGCTTGCACTTTGCACTGTTCGTGGACTTCGTATAGCGGTATGTAATTAGTTTAAAAAAAAAAAAATTTACAAACCAAAAAAAAAAAATTAAGGATAATGATGCTCTCACATATCCAAATATTACAATATGATCAATATCATCCATCACTCTATATATAACTACACAAGTCGACAACAAAATTAAATAACTAAAATATGTTAAGGGTCATATAATTGGGAAAAAAAATCACATGCAAGATCCAACAAATACGAGAATTAATGAAGAGACTGTAATGATGAAATAACGGGTGACGAGACTCATGGAAGTGGGGACCCTATACGATAACCAGCCAATCATAACCATATTAGAAATTTAGAACCAAATCAACATAAATGTATAGTATTCATACCATATTATCTATTTAAATATAAGCATACATCTGTTAAAAATGATTGCTCAAAAAATCAAAACGAAATAGATATGAGATTGACATCCTTAATTTGGACACAACCCAACAGTTAGGGCTTATGCAGAAGCTATTGTAACCAATTAAAATATCTTTTACAGAACCTTCTACTAATTGCACAATATACATATTGATATTGTATATGGACCACGCTTTCTTATTTTTTGTCCTTTCTTTTACTTTTAACTTGTTCTTGTGATGTCATGTGTTATATTTGATCGCGAGTGGACAACCACTTTTCCCAGCGCTTGTTACATGATATTTAGCTTCATGTGGCAATGTTTTTCGATTATTAATCTTCTAAAATATTAAAAATAAAGTTTACTAACATTTACGAGTTACGAGTCTTACGACCTAACCGAGGCTTGTATCTAGATCGATACATAACATTTGGGTATAATATTTACACTATCTCCAAAATGTCACGAAAATTCCAGGCATGTGCAGATGTAGCATTTTGAGAGGCGTTCCGGGTAGTAAGCCAGGAGATTAGTTTATTATTAGCTATTCAAAGATGTGATCTGCGTTTTCTTGAAAAAAGAGGAGATGATTGATTACTTGTAAGAGCCTTTAACAAAAAAAAAACATTTACATTAAGTTGCAGAGATTTTCATGTATATATGTGCATAGGACGATGGTTAGTGTTGGTTGTTACCGAACATACCAGTATGTTAATAAAACATTAATATATAAAACATTAGTTGCCACTCCACCTTAATCATCAAAATTTGCAAATAATGGTGAACACAAAAAAGGCTTATACGTACGTATGAAGTTGTATATACAAATATAAGCAAGCATCAAATTAAACGGAGAGGGGCGTAGTACGTACCTAGCTATGTCTGGACAACTGATTAGGATGTACGTAGCTATGCTAAATACAATGTACAAGGCCATGTGATGCTTGTATAACTTGTGCCTTTTCTACATATATATACGAATATACGACCCAACCTTTGAAATTTAAAATCGTTTTACCCTTATGTCATCTCTTAACATTAGCAATCACTCGGTACCAACAACCCCAACTAAATTCTCACATTCTCTCTCTCTAATAGAATAGCCAGTGTACGTAATATCTAATAAGAGTGAGAACAAGTACAAACCTTTCATCCACCAAAATTTAACCTATGTATATAAATATATATCCGTTACCATTTACCAAACATCCATCATGCATATATTACTCGTCATCAAGATTTTCAACTCTTCTCTCTGACAAAAACACAGAGTAAGTAAGAATGGTACAGACGAAGAAGTTCAAAGGTGTCAGGCAACGCCATTGGGGTTCTTGGGTCGCTGAGATTCGTCATCCTCTCTTGTACCATTCTTCTTTCTTACCATTTTTTCTGCGTTGTTCATTTATTTCCCCTTTCTGATTCATTCAAGTACACAACCACACACACACACACACAAACATATATATATATATATATATATATACATGCTTTCTATATATTTTTGTAGCTTCTTAATTTGGTGAACTTATTCCTTATATTCTATAAAACATGCATGATGAATGAAAACAAAAAGGAAAAGGAGGATTTGGCTGGGAACGTTTGGGACTGCGGAGGAAGCAGCAAGAGCCTACGACGAGGCCGCCGTTTTAATGAGCGGCCGCAACGCCAAGACCAACTTCCCTCTCAGCAACAACATCACAGGAGACACATCTGAGAGCAAAACCGACGTTTCAGCCTCTGCATCTACATCACTCTCTTCCAGCCTCAGCGCCAAACTGAGGAAATGCTGCAAGTCTCCTTCGCCATCCCTCACCTGCCTCCGTCTTGACACGGCCAGCTCCCACATCGGCGTCTGGCAGAAACGTGCCGGTTCCAAGTCTGATTCCAGTTGGGTCATGACGGTGGAGCTTGGCCCCGCCGGCCCCTCACAGGAGCCTACTTTAAAAGCTTCACTTGATGATGTTGGTCCGGTCACTGAGGTTGGCGGCGGCAGAGAAGAAGAAGGTGTAATGGACGAGGAAGAGAAGGTTGCTTTGCAAATGATAGAGGAGCTTCTCAATACAAACTAAATAATATTTGCTTATAAATAATATAAACCTATTTTACAGCTGATTTACAGCCATAACTATCAATTATACCCTAATGTTCTATATATCGTGTTTATATTTACAAGTGTTATACTATATCTTGTATCCTCATTTGTGTCCAATAAAGTATTAGTATTTGTAACTACAATCTAGGAACCTTTTTCCTTTAGTTTGCATTCTCTGGTAGTCTTCTAATTACTTTTACATAAAATTAAAATAAAATGATGTTACATAGTACTTAACAAATTTATAACAAGAGTACATGCAATTTACAGCAAAGTTGAATTTGTCTCTGGTTAAATCAGACAGACTTTCTAATTAAACTTGTATGTGATATAAACTACGTCTATAATGAGTATATAATACAGAGAAATTGAATAGTTGGTTAAGTTAGGTTTGTAATGTATCATGTATCCCCACAAACACATTAATATCATTCAGATTTTAGTTAAACTGTATAATTAATGAAGACAATTCAAATGATACTTGATTCCCAGGAATCTATCCTAACAGAATCTCGAGTGAAGACATTTGTTAATTTTAACCTAACTGATGATCGTATAATATAAACGCAATAGCAAATGTTATTTATTGCCCAAAATGTTTTTTAGTTCTAATTTATAGCCTAGATTTCACACTACGACATTATATATTGAATCTTTATAGTGGGTATATCATGTATGAACATAGTTAAATTCGGAATAGTACGTATGATTTAAGATCACAAGACCATCAAATGAATCATGAATTCATGATGAGTAATGATGGTAACTTTATAAACTGTACTGTATACAGAAGATCGATATATTCGCGAGGAGTTGTATAGAAGATGCTTACCACAAACAAAACGACTATTCATCTAGCATATATAAATTACAAAACGTTCATTGTCTAACCAAGAGAGGAAGGTGCAATAACTAAAAGCCAAAGGATTTCGATTGGTCATAGACGTGTATACATCTTTCATTTCATGAGTATTATATTTACAAACAAATAAATATATATGAACAACTTGTTGTGACAAGATTGAGGATCAAGGACTATATGATTGTATCCTTAAACCTTCCAAATCAACGATGTTTGTTGTCTAACCAAATGTGTACGCTTCATCATAAGTAACTTTTTTTGGATAACCAATCAGATGGCAACTTGGAAGTGTGTGTATATAACGACGTTATGACTGAATTTGAAAGACTGTTGAAATACAAACGTGAAAAACTGGGACGAGTTTATTAACTCAAGTTTTAACTAATACGTCAATTAACTTTGAATGGACCATAGAAAAAGAAGAAAAGAGTAGAAGTGTTAATAATAAGGAATTGATAAAGTTAGGATTCTTTAACTTTCAAATAGTACAAAAGTCATAACGAATTAGGTTAGTGAATAGCATCAACTTCCACTTCAACAGTAGCTTGTTGGTACTTGTTTGTGCTCATCTTTATGACTTGTCCTCTTTTCACTTTAACTTGCACTTAACCATTTCATACTATTTAATAAAACTTTCGTTTTCTTTTCCCAAACTAACGAATTTGTTAATAAGTTTACACAAAGAAGAAAATGGTTACAGCATACAATGAGTACAAGTTGTGTGGAAATGAATAATGAAGGTATAAACAAGAAAGAAAAGTGGTGGTGTCTACTTTCTCTTGATAGATCTGAAACAGTGACATAACTGACCTATCATTTTCTTAAGTATCAACAACACCTTCTTTTCCCCAAATATAACTTAACCATCAAGTCATGTGTAATTATGCATCCTACCATCTTTTAAAAAAAAAGAAAAAAAACAAAGTAACAAGAAAGTCACAAAGTGGTTATTTTCAGTACACAAGAATTAATCGGGGTAAAAAATAACAAAAGCTGGACTCTGGAGGACGACATTGACAATAACTGGAATCCACGAATAATTAGTTTTAAAAATATTCGAACTAACGAAATTACCAAAAAGCCCCCCTATCAATTTTTTCAAGTTGAAGAGAAGTAGAAGAAGAGATCGAGACGAAGAAGAAGAAGAAAGCATAAAAAGAAAGGAAATCTCGCAGAGGAAGGAAGGAAGGAAGGATCATGATCCTTGCCGTGTTGTTCGCAAACTCCGTAGGAAACGTTCTGATCGAAAGGTTTTCGCACTTTTCTTTTCATCACTTTTCGCAATTTCAATCGCAAAACTTGTTGGCTTGAATCTCCAGAGATCGAAATCGAGCTATTTGATCTTGTTAATGTATCGAATAGGGTTATGTAGTTGTTAATTTCCAGATTAAAGGTTTGAGAGTAAACTTAGAGCTTTGAGAGTAGATTATTTATTTTATTTGAATTGATTTGAGACTACATTTATTGGAAGCAATTGATTCTTTTGTTGCAGGTTCAATGGAGTGCCAGCTGAGGAACGCCTGACCTGGCGATCTTTCTTGGTTAAATTAGGAGCTGAGAATCTCAAAGGCGTTAAAAACGAGGAGCTTCTTGTCGCCTGCCACAAGTAACTATACATCTACTCTCTTTTCTTGTGGATTAATTTGTCTATGGAATTAACAGAGATTTTATATTTTTGTGGCAGGTCGGTTTATATAGTGTACACAATGTTAGGGGATGTTAGCATCTTCCTTGTCGGTAAAGACGAGTACGATGAACTTGCTTGTAAGTTGTAAGCCTCTCTCTCTTTATAGATCAGTGATTCATTTTAGAGCTTTGATTGAGTCTTTGTTGTTTATATGTGATGCAGTGGCGGAAGCTATCTTTATCATAACAGGGGCTGTGAAAGACATATGTGGGAAGCCTCCAACGGAGAGAGTGTTTTTGGATAAATACGGGAGGATTTGTTTGTGTCTTGATGAAATCGTTTGGAATGGACTTTTGGAGAACACTGACAAAGATAGGATCAAGCGACTCATTAGATTGAAACCTCCTTCTGAGTTTTGATTTTCCCTCCAAGTCTAACTACTCACACATTCTGCTTCTAGTCTATTAATCAATATGTTCTCTGTCATTTGTTGAAACTTGAATCACTTCTTTCTATCAAATACTTTACTATTCGATACTGTTGTTGTTTGATTGATCAGACATAAAGCAATTTAGTGTGGTGATGGTTATTGAATCTTAACTTGAACATTTTCGCTAGTTAGCTGGTTGTAACTGTGAAGCTCGTTTTTGACTGTGAGGAGTCTGGCCTTGTTCTGCTAGAATCAGAGTGAGACCCTGACAAGGTTTTCAACATCTTTAAAGCCAATCCCGTAGAACAGCTTGGTCACTGAAAAATATACAGTTTCTCTACTATCTGGGGCAAGTCGGGCTGATTGTATATATAGTGGACATGCTTGAGCATCAGAGGACTCTTCCACGAGATAAGCGTGAAGGTTTCAGTTCCAGGAGGCTTTTAGATGGAAATCTAACACTCAAAACAACTGTATTCAAGATTAGTTGTGTTCCGATGCCACTTTATTCTGCTTGTCAGGTTTCCATTTAAAAGCCTCCCAGGATTGTAATATGCTATTTTTAGTTGTAATCTCTAGCTGGAGAGCAAATTGGTAAGGGAAAAGTGAAGACCAAACGATATGGTATGCTGGATAAAGCTAGCTCTAGGGACCAGTCAAACTGCATATCAATCAATCAGTTCATGTTGTTTCCATCTTCCGGACAAACCAAAAGCATTTTCCATATAGAAACGGTTTTGGTTTCTTCTTTAATAAATAACTCAAATATCCAGTTCAGAGCCTTTCCTGCTACCGTAAAAAAAAAAAAGATAAACGTATCAAGCTGTCTGAATCTTAGACGCTAGTGGCTTGATTGCTTGTAAGGAAGAATAAGAGAAACTGAAACTTCCTTGGCAACTTGTGGACACTCCTACATCGTGAAATACATTTTACAGTTTTTATAATCTTTTTTTGAACAAATTACAGTTTTTATAATCTTTTTTTTTTGTCACAAAACTAACTTCATTCATTCAACTTAGTTAGGTGGAGGAAATAACTCCTCCCCAACCACCTCTTGTTCAAACAAGGACAGAGTGTCCCTTGCCATTACATCAGCCTCAGAATTTTCTAAACGAGGAATCCACACAAAGACAACATAATCAAAAGACATCGCCATCCAGCTTATATCTTCCACAATTCCATAAAGCTCTAGGGGTGGTTCCTTCTTGTTAATTGCCTTGATTATTTGAGCAGAATCAGATTCAAACCTTACTTCTTTAATCCCTAAGCTGCGACAAGCCATTACATCATCTCTGAGTGCCAAACTCTCTGCAATTAGCGGCGAAGAAATGAAGCAGGTGCTTCGCTTTCCTTCCACAGTTTTTACAATCATTTTAGGAATTTTTTATTGTTTTGTGCTGCCCATTTACATAAAAGAACAGAAGGTTTAAGCTTATTCATTTGATTGTCCCTACCATTTGCTTGTGGAAAATGTATTCAAATATGAATGCGGTATGCACTAGTAGTTGTTTTGATTAGATATTATGGACAAAACTATTTAACTAAAATTTGAAAACGAAAGAAACATGTTAAAAGAGCTTTGTATAATCTTGAAATGGATTCCATATCGGCCCTTCGTCAAGGGAAAAGGTTGGCTATATATAAACTAATAGTATACATTAAAAATTAGAAAGTGTCCAGTGGTGTTTCTTGTTTTTTGAAAGTAAGTGACAAATCCACACTCACTAAAAATAAAATAATTGGTTTTACAAGCTATTAACGTACACATTGTTTTCACTCTCTTTCCCAGAATAAAGTTTGATATAATAGCAGATTTTAAGGGTATGAAACTATAAAATGTGATCATAAAACCATGCGAGATTAGGAAAACGTAAAAAAATAGGCTAAAAATCTAAAGGGGTTCAGCAAGTTTTTTTTTTCCAAACAGTATATAATACATGTGTTTTTTACTCTCTCTGACTTGTAATGTTAACTCTCGTATCCATTATTTCTAAAAAGAAAGTTTTCATTTTCATTTATTGACAATTTTGACTCTCCATTATCAAAACTAATAAAACGAACAAAACATAAAACTAGGATTGATCTTTGGCTAAAACTCATGAATTGATCATTTTATTGGCCAGAATTTACAATGCAGTATAAATGCTTGAATTTGAAGCTTATTAGTTTATAGTTTTGTTACGTACATAGTGTCATTTTACATTTCAAATTCAAACATTATATACTGCACCTGTAAGTTACTAAGCTATATATGTTTAAAATATTCAATAACTTTGACGAAAAGCATTTTCATCGACCAGTTTTCTATTTTGAACTACTCAATAATAAATGTTTAGTATTTTAATATAGTTTAAATAAATAGTTAAATCTTAATTTCGTTTTAAAAACTATTCATTAGATGTTTAAAGATTCTCATTATTTTTAGTAGTGTTTCAAATAAGAACTGATCTTCAACTTCTATTTTATTTTTTGATACTCTATGAGAACAAATTCCCCATAGAAAATGCTATAGCCAACAAAAAAGACAGCTATATAAAAGAAAACTTTCGAAAAACAAAAAAAAAGACAACAAAAGACACATGTTTGGTAATTGCTGACGTGTCCAGTATGATCTCAGTCTTTGTTTAGTAAAAGGAAAAAGAGGATAAGTTGTGATTGTCCGAGTCAGCTTGTTTGGGTTCTTACATATCGAACTCATCCTGCCATTGGGGGGTTCTCAACATTTTATCACCAAATTTCACATATTTGCACCTTTCTTTTTACCAAACACATCATTTATATTATTCTATGTCGTAGTTGGTATTATGTAGTAGCTAGTTCTTCTTCATCACATTCCTAATTACTTTCTAATCATTTCTTTTACGTAGTATAAAAGATTACTCGATCATGACTTGCATTTGTTTAACAACATATATATCTTCTTTTCACCATCGTCCATTATTTTCATTTGTCCTATTTTTAAATCTTGTTAAGTTTATATTATCTAAACCAGCTAAATAAAATAAAATGTGTTAGAAGACCTACTTTTGGCACGTTTAAGTATGAATAATAAATTTCTAAAAACCCTAAGTTGCCATTTGCTTAGAGGCCTTCTATAAATACAATATCATGGCCAAGTCTTTGATTATCAGATAAGTTTTCCAATATACATTCTTTCTACACATCTATATATACACTCACAGCTACTTATATAGTATTCTGCAAGGTTGCACTATTTTCTGTCCTTATGAGTTTTCTTGGTAAAATGAAGGAAAACGCAGTCAACCCTCTCCGTCTCACATCACTGAACCATGTATCTCTCTTGTGCCGATCCCTAGAAGAGTCGATGAATTTTTACCAAAACGTGTTAGGGTTCTTCCCGGTTCGAAGACCTGAATCTTTAGATTTTGAAGGCGCTTGGTACCCTCTCGTAGTTATCTTTTTATTAATATATGTACATGTTTGAAATTATGATTAAGTTTACATAAAACTATAAATGAGTTAAAAATTTGTATCTTCTTTTTTGGGTTAGGTTGTTTGGACATGGAATTGGAATACACCTCTTGCGTTCCACAGAGTCTGAAAACCTTCCGAAGAAAACTGCGATTAACTCCAGAGATAACCATATCTCTTTTCAGGTTATTTTTTTTTCTTTTGAGCAGTTTAAAACCTGAAACGTAATTTAGGTTAAACAATCCATAATTTTCTTTGAAAAACATAATTTAGGTGCACACAAGCTCAGTAATCCCTTAAGATAAAGAATGTACAGTAGAGTTTAATGTGAGTTATAACTTTGAAAGAAAGAAACTAAATGTATGAGGCAAGCTATCGTTAGGAAAGAACAAGCAAAATGTTAAAATAGGAGAAAAAAGGACAATGGAAGGTGGGATTTTTATAGGTCAAAGTTTTGGAAGGTATATTCCAATCACTGACAACAAAACATTTAGTTTTAAGAATAGAAACATCCTTTTCTTTCATACTTTGTGTAATATTATATATAGCTGTTGCTCTGTTTTGGGCATATATAATATGGTTATAGCTGCAAATTTCGTGTAATTAAGAAGACATGTTGATTGTGGAAATGTAGTGCGAGAGTATCGGGGCAGTGGAGAAGAAGCTTGATGAAATGGGAATAAAGTATGTGAGGGAGCTAGTACAAGGAGGAGCAATCAAAGTGGACCAGCTCTTCTTCCATGACCCTGATGGCTTCATGATAGAGATCTGCAATTGTGATAGCATCCCTGTTGTCCCCCTCGTGGGAGGAATGTCTCAGTACTGCTCAAGAGTCAAACTTCATCAGAAGGTGCAACCACAACCACAGATTAATTAAGATCCACCCTTAGCTATCTCCCTTATTGTTGTGTGTGTTTTGTGTGCGTATGTACTTTGGGTTTGTTTGATTTGGGTGTAATGAATAAGAGACCGGTCGACGGGAATCAGTGAATGTGATTCCGAACGATCATTCTCCCAGCTTTTCTTGGTATATGATATAACCACCATGAGATTAATGTTACATATAATGTTTTAGTTGGTTTATGTTTTTCTCCTGTGTTGTGTGTGTTTGATTTTGGATGTGATGAATAAGAGACCGACGTGAATCAGTGAATGTGATTCCCCTCGAGGAAATGATCATTCTCTCGATTTATTTTTCATATAATGTTTCTAAGAGAATATTTTAAAATAAAATTGCATAATAAAAAAGTGTTATTGAAAGTAGGCCACGTGAGAGCATGTTCTCGATGGATTGGAGTCGCTGGAGAAGAAGCTGCTTTCTGAATTTTGTGATGAAAGCTTCTGCGCACTGGTTTATTTCCATGGATTGCTTCCTCTCTACCTTCTTATTCCTCGTCTCTCTATTCTCCAATAACGATGTTAGTAGTTACATAACCACTTCCTTGTGCCAAACTCATCTTCACAGTGTTCTTGTTGTCTAAAATATTTTAAGATAAATATAATTTGCAACAGATTATATATAATCTTATATGTTAAAATAAATAAATTTATTAACACATGGTTCATTTACGGTTGACCCAATATGCTGGTGACAGGGATTTTTTCTTTTCAGTGTCCTATTGGGATTTAAAACGTTGTATATATAATACAAGTGTTTTATTCTCTCCAACTCGTCTTGTTAACTGTCATATCCATTATAGAAAGTTTTCATTATTCACAATTTAGACTCTCCAATTCTCCATTATCAAAAGAATAAAACGAACAAAACATATCATAAAACTAGGATTGATCCTTGGCTAAAACTCATGAATTAAGAATTTTATAGGCCAAAACTGAAAAATACTTTTAGAACACTAATATCAATTAAGTTTTTTTTTTTTGTAATTACAGTTAAGATCAGTTTTACGTGACTTAGACGTTACTCCTTCTGTTTCAAAAAGATTAACATTCTAGAAAAATATATGTTTCAAAAAGATATATTTTTTTATATTTTTAATGTATAATTTAATGAAAAATTGTAGATTTCAAAAAAAATTAATTGTGTTTTTTGAAATTTTATTGGTTAGAAAATATAAAAGATTGTTATCTATAATAAATAATGCATTAATTGGTAATTACAATTTTATGTTTTTTTAATATGTGAAAACTAAAACATTTAATATGTGAAAAACTAAAACATTTAACTTTTTGAAACAAAGAACCAAATATTTTTTAACCGAGGTAAGAAGCTCATTTTAGTTTGTAGTTATGTTTCCTACATAGTGTCGTTTTACATTTCAAATTCAAACATTATGTTTACGTGTAAGTTACTAAGTTATATATGCTCAAAATATCCAATAAATGTGTCTAAAAGTGTTTCCATCGATCAGGTTTGTAAGTTAGATTACTTAATAAGAATTTTTTAGTATTTTAATATAGTTTGAATAAATAATTAAATCAAGGCTAAAGTAGTTTTGACCTTGTTTTATTGTATTGGCTTGTAACTGTGGCTTTTTTTTATGTGAACGTTTGAGAGTAGATAATGGTCAGTTTTTAGTACCAAATCATAAAAACCATTGATCTTTTGCAGGTTCACCAGCATGTCATTTGTTGAATCACTTCTCCTATATAGTTTGCTGTTGTTTGATGATCAGACATGAAGCAATTTAGTGGATATGCTTGAGCATCAGAGGATTCTTCCCCAAGCTAACCGTGAAGGGTTTAATTCCAGGAGGCCTTTTGATTTGGCCCAACTATTTTTTTAATTAAGAATGCGGTATGACTAGTTGATTCGTTGGAACAAAACTATTTAACTAAGATTCGAAAACGATGGAAACATGTTCGCAGCTTTATTTATCTTGAGTTGGATTCCAGAGTTATGATATCGGCCCTTCGACAAGGGAAAAGGCTGGCTATGTGCAAAGTAATCCAGTTTTGGTGTTCACTGAAAGTAAGTGACAAATCCACACTCACCGAAAGATAAAATAACCATTTTTTATCAATGAGCTGTTGGTTAAAAAGTGTTTAGTAGATCCTCATCACTCGGATTTATTTTTTACTGAGAGTGACTAATTACATTGTTTGAATTCCTAATAAAAAGTTGAAATCATATTTTTTTCTTTAGCAAAAAAAATAATAACCATTTTAAAGCTATTAAAGTGCCAATATTTGTCACAAAGAAAAAAACATGCTGATGTTTCACTTCTCTGTTCCAAAACAAAATTTGATATACTGTAATAATATTTCTTTCTATGCTATTTGTGTAATAAAATATGTTTTGATTCTATCTTAAAATATATCTAAGATTCTAAATAGTGGTGTGGAACTAAAGTTTAAATATATAATTATTAGGATTAGCACTATAAAGATTCTTGGGGTATTTTAATTTGGTTAAGAAAGAGAAACGAGTATAAAGATTCTTATGGGTAATGAATTTTCAACTAAATCTGACATTTCTGTCTTTTTATTCTTTTAGATATCTTCAACTTTTCAACTTTTTGGGTAAGATGTTAAATTAAAATTTCAAATTTCCCATTGAGAATTTTCTAAGATAAATTATATATTTAGTTCGTCTATAGCCAACCCAAAGTATTGCAAAGCATTTTGTATTTGGGACAACCAAATCTGTACAGTCAACACAAGACCAAAGTCTATATACACAAGACAACAAAATACGTACGTTTGGAAATGCTGGCGTCTCCATCCAATATGATCTGAAATGTTAAAAACATGAAAGTTGTTTTGTTTAGTTAAGGAAAAACCGATAAGTTGTGATTGTTCGAGTCAGCTTGTTTGAGTTCTTACGTGTTGAATTCATCCTGAAGGGTTGGTTCTCAACATTTTGTAACCAGCTAACCTCCCAATTTTGTGAGATATCAAACAAAATTCAATATTGGAAATTTAGATAATTAGTGTTTAATATATAAAAAATGTCTAATTTTAATTAGTAGAAAATCTTATGGTCGAATGAATCTAGAAGTAAATTTATGTAGATTTTTCTCTTAAGTAACAAATGAACAATTTTATACTAATCGAAAAATAAAAAATTAGATATGAACTCTCACAATCCCAATAATTAATATCAAAACAGTATAATAAAATCTATCAATATACCAAAATATCTTTCAAATAGAAATATGACTTTTCGAGTTGGAAGAAGAGGGATATGGTAGAAACCAGTCACAAGATCATGGAATTTGTGTTCTTTAGTTTGATAAGAAGAATATGAGATATTAAACAAAGTCTTATATTAAATGTTTAGAAAAAAAATATTTATAATATAAAAAAAAAAATTCAATTCTAACTAATATGAAGTCTCTATGTTTCGCCTACTGTGCGGCTTTGCCGGTGGTGAGAAAATATAACCCTCTGTTCTGGTTTTGGCTTTTTAAAAAGATTGGGAGCCTTGTTGGTTTTTGGAGATAGGTTAATTACCCTTTGTATGGATGAACTCGCTATGTTTCGCCTAGTGTGCGGCTTTGCCGGTGGGCATCAGAGTCTTGTAATGTGTTTGAACTTCAGTTCACGTTAAATGTATTTCACAGATGAACAAAAAAAAAACTAATATGAAGTCTTTTTTAAATGAATAAATTTGTTTTATGCAAATCTGTCTTTTAAATCCAAAATAAAAATTTGTTAATAATCATATAATAAAGAATTAGACATGGGTTCTGCATATTTACACGTTTGTTTCCACCAATCATGTCATTTATTTCCATTCTGGTATGTTGTAGTTTGTATTATATGGTAGCTAGATGTTCTCCATCACATTCTTAATTACTTTCTTTTCATGTTTATTATTTTAGATTATCTTCATTTCGATCTTGAGCTGCATTTATTTAAGTATTATACATTACTTTCAACATCACCCATTTATATTCATTTGCACTATTTTAAGTTTCCAATATCTAAACCAACTATATAAAATATGATAGTATATGTAACAGTGGATAAGTATGAAGATTAAATATTCTAAAAACCCTAAGTTGCCATTTGGTTGGAGGCCTTCTATAAATACACATCATGGACAAGTGTACGTTATCCATTCAATATACCTTCCTTCTACAAATTATATATACACCCACACCGCTTATATATACACCCACACCGCTTATATATACACTCATAATATTGGTATTGTACGTTGATTGGTAAAATGAAGGAAAACGTAGGCAACCCTCTCCGTCTCACGTCACTGAACCATGTGTCTCTCTTGTGCCGATCCCTTGAAGAGTCGATGAATTTTTACCAGAGGGTGTTAGGGTTCTTCCCGGTTCGAAGACCTGAATCCTTAGATTTTGAAGGCGCTTGGTACGTACCTTTTCTTAGTTATCTCTTTATTAAGATATATGTCTGAAATTTTGGAAGAGTGTACATATATAAAACTCAGGTGATAAAACTATAGTGAGGTTTAAAATTGTATGTTTTTTTGGTTTAGGTTGTTTGGACATGGAATTGGAGTACACCTTTTGCGTTCCACAGAACTTGAAAAGCTTCCCAAGAAAACTGCGATCAACTCCAAAGATAACCATATCTCGTTTCAGGTATTTTTTTGCTTTTGTGCATTTTAAACTTTTTGCTTTTGTGCATTTTAAACCCCGAAACGTAATTTAGTTTAAAAAAAAAGATAATTTAGTTGTTGTTCTGTTTAGGGGGGACATGTATGATTTCTTTTTTTGTGCAAATTTTGGTGTAATAAAGAAGAACTGATAGTGTGTGGAAATGTAGTGCGAGAGTATGGAAGCAGTGGAGAAGCAGCTGGATGAAATGGAGATAGAGTATGTCAGGGAGATAGTAGAAGAAGGAGGTATCAAAGTGGACCAGCTCTTTTTCCACGATCCTGATGGCTTCATGATCGAGATCTGCAATTGTGATAGCCTCCCTCTTGTCCCCCTCGTAGGAGGAATGGCTCAGTACTGCTCAAGAGTTAAACTTCATCAGATGGTGCAACCACAACCGCAGACTCATATCCACCCTTAACTATCTCCGTTATAGCTGTGTGTGTTCTGTGTGCGTATATATTTACTTTGGGTGTGTTTGATCTTGGGTGTAATGAATAAGAGACCGACGTGAATGTGATTCCCCTTGAGGAAAGATAATTCTCCTTTCTTTTCTTATTATATGAAATAAGGGAATTAATGATTGCTTATATTGTTTTAGTTGGTTCCTAACAGGTCCCATAACGCCTATGTGCAATATATGTATCCGATTCTAAAGTGATTTTTCTGTGTGTGATTGTGACGAATCTACTTAAATAAAGTAATAAACACATGCCCGTAAGGCAATACGTACGTCTAAGAAAACAAAATATTACTGTATAACTATTTGTACTAGTATCGGATATTTATAGGTTTATGTAGAGAGAACTCTAGGGTTTACTGAGGTTTTCACATATTTAATTAGAAAATCCTATTCAAAAGGTATTTTCATCGGTTTGAATGATCTCTTATTTTTTCTTTGGATTTATCGAGTTATCACAGCAGACAAGTAAAATAATGGGAGCATTTCCTCAGTAAATGACATAAATTTTTTTTCCTATTATAAACTATGACATAAATTACGGGGTGAATTATCTATTTTCCCACGATACCATATAGTATTATGTTTCCATCAAACTATAATCTCATGTCAGATTCTAATGAATGAAAATTGCAAATATATATTTTATCTCGGATTAAAAAATTTAAACTTAATTATCCATATATCATGGTTTAAACTGGTTTAATATGAACCAAATAATTTAAAACTGGGTAAACCAAATAAAAATACAGTCTCTTAATCATAAATTGAATTGTTATAAATAAATAAATAAAATTTGTTACTTGCTGGAATAAAACTATAAAGTTTGATAAAAAGTTGCTTCTGTTTGAAATTTGATTTTGAGTTCAACTACTATATAACCAAAAGAGCAATCGACTAAGAACGGTGCTGAGCTGTTGATTCTAAAATCAGTCATCGGATTGTTGTGGTGGCTGGTCGCAACAGAACGGGAGAGACGTGGTGGCCTGAGACGCCGTGTTGAATAATTAATAATGTAGAATATATAATGTTTCAGATTGTGAGAGTATAGCTAACAAATTAATTTGTAATTTTGTGTTCTTCTTGTGTTATTATTAAGTAACCTTCTTTTCTGATTTTTGTCGACAAAGCACCAACTAGCAATATGCGTACTAGACGTTCGGAGTCAGCTAGATAATGTAAGAGATTATGTTTAAGAAACATAAATACTAAAAACAACATTATTCCTAAAAAAATGATTAAGGATATAATGTAAAATGGTTTAATCAGTCACTAAAACAGTAAGATATAACGGATCAAACAATTTTCAATAAAATTAAAATTACTATAGAAATATCATAATGTCTTACATTTTAAAACAGTAAAAACCGTCTAAAACATCAAAACTTATGAGATGGAGGAAGTATGTAAAATAATACACAAGTAATAATATATACATACATACAAGTGTGTATTGATAACTAGTTTTAAAGGCCACGGGATAGCATATTTTCGATGGATTCGAGACGCTGGAGAAGAAGCTGCTTTCTGAAATTTGTGATGAAAGCTTCTGCGCACTGGTCTACGTCCATTGATGCCTTCCTCTCTACCTTCTTATTCCTCTTCTCTGTAATAACGATGTTAGTAGTAACATTACCACTTCCTTGTGCCGAACTCATCTTCATAGTGCTCTTGTTGTTGTTCATCATGTATATGTAAGAAACTGTTTGTGTTTCCTGATTTATTTTGCGTGAATTGTTTGTGATATTTAAGATGCTCAGCAACCTATGTATTTATAGGGGGATTTTGATAAGACTTTGAAGGAAACGAGAAGACTTTACTCTCTACAGAAACCATATTTGAATGTTGAAGGAATAAAAAGGAATCTTGTATCTCACGTTATATACGCGACTAAGAGGAACCATCCTGAAACAAAACAAAAAAGGAATCTTGAAACTCAAGTTATGTACGCGACTGTAGAGGAATCATCTTGAAACCACCGCCTCTTTTTTTATTTGTCTTTTCTTTTTGTTAAATTTTCTGAAATGTGTTCTCTTTGAAAAACACAACTATGCTACCCAACACAGTGATTAGTTAATTTTATTACAACTTCTTTCTATATATCATATATACAGGGCCGGTCCTGGACACTGTCTCATGAAACATTTGCAACAGGCCCCAATTTTATAGGCCCCCAAAAAATAAAAATCCAATTATATTATATATATAAAATTTTAATAATCATATATATCTCACTTTAAATTTGTTTCAAAAGATGTAGACAATTTTTTTTTCTGTGAGGAAACTTGTGTCTTATTAGTACTTTGTATTTGAAAGTATTTTTACAAGTTTGTTTCTATTATTTTTTTTATGTTGTATATTACCCCCGTTTTCTATTTTGTTTCAGGCCCCCGAAATTTCAGGGCCGGCCCTGCATATATATTGCTTGTTATAAAAAACAAATCGTATAAGGAAAAATTAATATAGCATAATAAAAAGAATCGGATATACAGCATCAAAACTAAGATTTAATTTCTGCTTTGACGTAATGTAAGGATGTGCCTAACTATTGAATTTGACTTTATCAATATGGAGCAAAGGAAGCATGCAAGATTCCAAAAAAAAAGTTTAGATAAGCTCATAAGGTTGACCATTTTTTATAAACAAAAAGAAAATTGACAATGTTTTCACAAAGTTGCTTACACGGAAAGAATTACGGCTTAAGCATCGGAGATTAGCTTCCTTATAGCTCACCGCCCTGTCTTCCTATTGTCGCAGCTCCGGTAACCTTTCCCGCTTTTGTTTTGTTTTAACCAAGAAGATCAATAGAGATAACAAAGAAGAGATCATGTAGCTTAAGTCATATTTTTAGGCAGATCCGTTGAATCATATAACAAACATGTACCATATTTAATAAACTATTGACTCAAAGTCAAAGCCAATGTATGTGCAGATATGTTTACAACTTGACTCTGAACAGCTGAACAGTTACTGGCCATTGCCAATCTCCAACCCAATTTTTAAGCGCATTAGTAGTTAAAATATTTGAACCACTTGTTTATGATGTTATTTTCTAATTACAATATGAATTGTTTATTATATTTTCTTTTTAGTTACGCTATGCAATTGTTGTGGAGTGCTCCATAACATCACTAGTGTAATAGTCAGGAAAAGATGTATTAAAAAAAAAAAACTCTAAACTACAAGATAGGTTACCTTTTTTATAAAGTTAGGAAAAATACATATAACACATTAGTTAGATTTTTCTTCAGACTTTAAGAATACATTTTTTCAGTGTTTGACCTTTTAAGAAATAAAGTTTCAGATTCTGCTTTATGACTTATTGTCGGTTTAAAATTAATAAGTTTAAGAGTTTGAAATATAGAGTTAGATTTTCAAGTTAAACAATTTGCTAGTTCATCTTTTTTTTATTTGAGATATGAAATATACTTCTACTTCTCTTATTAGCCCAAAGTAGTCCCAATTAGAAAACTCGAATATAAAAGTGAAAATTCGAAGCATTAACGGGTAAGAGCATCCACATCAATGAACCCCTTCTTGGGGTTCATTGAATCAGTTTTTTATTACTAAAATTTTTCTGTTTTCTTTTTGATTTTTTTTTTTTTTTTAAAAAGAAGAAAAAAAGACCTAGACCAATCCCGGGCCGACACGTGGTGAACCTTAGGAGAGAGGAGTTCACCCGGGTGAACTTTAGGAGAGAGGGGTTCATAAATTTTTATTATTTTATTATTTTATTTTTTTGGTTTCCGTGTGAACCCCCCATTTGAACTCTCAATGGGGGTGCTCTTAAGAATGTCAGCTAGTTCGTTACGTACGTTGACTTCCCTTGGTATCCACTTGAATCAAAACTTCCTTTTCAGTAGAACATTCCAAAATATAGTGTGTCTTTGTTTATTAGATTCACTAGAGCTTTACAGTCTCCTTTAAAGATGATCTTCATGTAACATCTGCTCGAGAAGTTTCGCATTGCAATTAACAAAGCTTGAAACTCTCGTTCTAAGGGCATCCACAACCCTGTACCCCCATAAAAATCCTTAAGAAAAAATGTTTTTTACTTTTTTAATTATTAAAAAAAAAAAAAAAAAACTAACCAATCATGAGCCGCCACGTAATAATGGGGCCCATGAATAGTTAACGGACTCCATCGGATGGAATCCTTACAGAAGGAATTTAACAGCTTAAATCTGCACAGAAACCTAAAAACCATGGACCCCATATGTTTTTATATTAATTTTTCTTTTAAGGATTGGAGTTATGTCCCTCCGTTGGACGTGCTCTAAGGCACATGTTGTGGTGGCGCTCTGTTCTCTGATTGATGAGATCCTAAATATATTCCTCTTTAACCAGGAATAAGCTAAGCTAGCCAACCAACCCTCGAGGTCATTGTATTGTTAGTAAATGAATTAACATAGTTACATTTAACGTATCCAGTAGGTGGACTCAACGACCAATTTTATTTAGACATTAGAGGGAAAACATTGGGCTGCTAAGATAATGGGCCTAATGTTATAAAAAAATTGTTTGGAGACAAATTACAACAATGGGCTGGAAAGATAATGAGCAGGATGAACCGGACACGTTATCAGGCCCATATAAACATATCTGAAGAAATGACCCGGTGGGACTCCTCGAGACCAAAGCGACGACCATGGCAACCCTTTTCAGATTCTCACTTCGTCTACTCCCGGTTTCCGCCGCCGTCACATGTCGCTCAACCCGGTTCCCCGTTTCAAGACCCGACTCTTCATTCTTGTCAAACCGTAGTAATATCTATCGTTTCTCCTCTTCTCCTTCTTTGAAGACCAAAGCAGGTTGGTTACTAGGTCTTGGGGACAAGAAGAAGAAAGTGGATTTACCGGATATTGTAGCAGCTGGAGATCCGGTTCTACACGAGAAGGCCCGAGAAGTTGACCCGGAAGAAATCGGGTCGGAGCGTATTCAGAAGATAATTGATGATATGGTTAAAGTCATGAGATTAGCTCCTGGAGTTGGTCTTGCTGCTCCTCAAATTGGTATCCCCTTAAGAGTAAGTAAACCAAACCTAATGGTTATCTACTTTTTGAATAAACCAATGATTAAACCGGTTTTTCTACAGATTATTGTTCTTGAAGATACAAAAGAGTATATCAGTTACGCACCAAAGGAGGAGACTTTTGCTCAAGACAGACGTCCCTTTGATCTTATGGTAATAAAGATTTAGTCATTGAAATTATTAAAAACTTAGTGAGAGTTTAACTTTTTGCGTGTTAGGTAATGGTGAATCCGGAGCTTAAAGCGAGTAGCGACAAGAAAGCGCTCTTCTTTGAAGGATGTCTGAGTGTTGATGGATTCAGAGCTGTAGTGGAGAGATACCTTGAAGTAGTAGTAACAGGCTACGATAGTCGAGGGGAACGGATCGAAGTGAATGCTTCAGGTTGGCAAGCGAGGATTCTGCAACATGAGTGTGATCATTTGGATGGTAATCTTTATGTTGATAAGATGATACCACGCACTTTTAGGACAGTTGAGAACTTGGACTTGCCTCTAGCTGAAGGCTGTCCTAAACTCGGACCTCAGTGACATACAGATTCTTTGTTATGTAATTTGTAATGTTTACTTCTTATTGAGTGAGCTTTTATGTCTTCAAAGGTTGTCTTTTTACGGACAGTATTATTAATATTAAGACAGAACATATCACACATTAAGACAGCTATTTATAGTATTTTTTTTAAAATGGAAATGTGTTGTCTCGCTCGTTATGGACAAGACACGGCGGCGAAGGCGTGAAATGCGGCGGTAATCAAGAAATGAAAATGTTCCGACAACAAAAAAAATAGCTAATTTACAATCACACATAAAATTCATAATATTGCAATCTATAAGCTTAACAGGAGAAAATTCGAAAATGAAATTAAAGATTGTATCACAGCACATACAAAGTGAAACCAAAGACAGTATACTATGTATGATCTCTTTAGTTTTGTGTCTACCTTGATCTGCGCTTCGGTGGCCTTTTCCTCGGATTATTATTCTTCTTCCCCGGAGGTTTCTTCCCAAACGCAGTGCAGCAACCGCATGTAGAGAGTCTAGGAGACGGCGGATCCACCGCAGGAGAGACTCTTCCGGTTGTTCGGTGATGACGTGGAGCTCCTCCGCCGTTAGATCGACTCCTCTCGAGTCCTCCTCCTGTTGTTGTTGGTACACTTGTTTTGATCGGCCTGAGGTTCTCTTTCTCGTCGCCGGCGATGGGTTTCTCTTGCTCTGAGCCTTCAGACATAGGCTTAGGCTGTTCTTCGCGTTGACTTTCGTCTTTCTGGTCCGTGGCTTGTTTGTTGAGCTCGGCGATTACACGGTCGTCAAAGACTATGCCGGAAGATCCTTGACGGCGGAAAGAGATGGTTGATCTTTGAAGACCTTCCATGGATCTCTATCTCTCTTCTTGATTTGAGCTAAAAGAGTAAAAAAAAAGTGATAAGGTTTATATGTGTGATTAATCAATCATTGTGTTCAGACTGTCTTCCCTTTTTATTTCTGTCCTCACGACACTATTTAAATGACGCCGGTCCACTAATATTTATCATTATTTATTATTGTCATGAATCGATAAGATGATGATGTTTTCCAATTTGAATTTGTTTTTTTTTTCGTAACAACTGGTATCAGAATTAATGTATTTAGCAAAAAATAACGATAATCCAAAACCGTTTTTTCAGTGAGATTAAGATAATATAATATAATTAAACTATTCATTTCAGAACCAACTATACAAAATCATTTACAGAAAAAAATCTAAAAATCTTCAAAACCAAACCTAATTAACATATATGAAATGTTAAAGTATTTTAAAAACTGAAAATGCAAATATAGAATGATCATATAATTCTACAAAGTATCATAGATTTATCCCAAAAAAAAGGTGTATGAATCTTTTGAATCTCAATGCCACATAATCCTCTTTAATTCATATTCAGATTATATATGTGTTGGGTTTACAAAAAAGAAAAATCAAATGGCGTAGACATTTTTATTAGTATTGTTTTATAATCAAGTGGCGTGGGTTAGATAATAATTAAGCATAGAAAGTAGAAACGAACACGGGAATTGACTTATCGTACACGATTTTTTAATTTACAATAAAATTCTTCTTCATTCGGTAAACAAATATATTAGGTAAGGATGACATTAGATACCAAAAGCATAGAGAGGTTAAAGTAACTAGGACGCCAGTTTGTTACTTAAGTCAACTTCACCGAATAATATATAGTTTTATTTGAAGCAATAATTCACCCTCTTATGTTTTTTAAGCTAAATAAAAACATGTACATGTGGTGAGATTAGCTGACTCGATTTTCTCAAATAAACATTTAGCAAAGTAAACGGTCGACAACGGCTATATTATGAATGGCTAAATCTTTCCTTATCAAACACATTAACTAAATGAGATTTCATAACTCACACAAATCTTGAGATTTCATTATCGAGTAATTACAAAATGGGCTGTTACAAGTGAAATTTTGTAATGCTATACTACACTCAATACTCTATATATGGGTAAAGGGATGAAAATACAATCCTTCTAAAGTCTCAAGAAGTAATGACTTCAAAGAAAAAGGGAAGCACAGGACGGCAAAGGATTCGGATGGCTAAGATAGAGAAAGAGAGTCACAGGCAAGTAGCATTCTCAAAACGCAGAGCTGGTCTCTTCAAGAAAGCCAGCGAGCTATGCACTTTGTGCGGTGTAGAGGTGGCAATCATCGTATTCTCTCCCGCCAAAAAGCCTTTCTCGTTCGGTCATCCAAATGTATACTCCGTGTTGGACCGCTACAGGAACAACACTTCTTTTCAGCAGCGAAGTCAACCGATGGAAAACACAGCAACGAGGAGCGAGTTGAGTTTGGTGTTGAGCCAAGTGGAGGAAGAGAAGAAGAAAGGTGAGGCCATGAGGAAAGCGAGTGAGATGGCCAAGTGGTCTGTGGAGGAAATGAGTTTGGTTCAGTTACAGGAAATGAAATCTGCGCTAGAGGAGCTGAGGAACACAATGGTTGTGCCTCATTCTTCTTACATGGACACAATGCTCCCTTCTTATTACGTGAACTCAATGTCTACTGGTTTTTCTTGTATTTGCAATTCTGGCTATGCACGTGCTTCTTCCTGAGTCTCACACTCATGTAATAAAAGGGAGATAATGATATATGCTTATTTTGGTTCTGTAAAACATTAGTGGGATTTTATTGACTAGAAATGTATAAATAAAAAAAAAAGATGGTGGTTCAGCTGGGTACGAGCCACCAGGCCATGCTGGAACCGAGTGGCTTTGAGCCGTTATCCATCCACTGCCGAGAGGGGGAGGTGGTCGCTGCTCTGTGAAACCAGCCTCACGCTTTGCCCTCCTCTTTAGGAACCGTCTGAGTCAAGCCTTCGCTCAACACAAACAGATCACTCTCGGCTTGGATTGGGCGGCCCAGAAGATGCCACGACAGAACCGACCGATGGGCCGGGCCAGTGTTCAACCATCTTAATGTCCCCACTTAGGTCACAAGCCCGCGTTGCTGAGCTCGACGTGCAATCTTTTCTGCAAAGACTTATATAAACAACACAATTTTGAGTCAAGTAACCGATGTGGGACAAAAGACAAGTTTAGAGATTAACCTGTGGAGAACTACAAGTCTCTTTTTTTCTCTTCCTAGAAATTTGTCTCCACTTTGAGCATCTGGATTCTGTTAATATTGCAAATGCACAAGGTGTAGTACATACGTGTATCGCATTTTACATGTTAGAATCAAACTTGTATATGAAAGCTTTGTTTGTGTGTTAGTGGGAGCTTTATTTCTCAGCCTGTAAAAAGATTTCTACGAAAATTAAGCTTTCATAACCGTACATGTGAGCAAAGAAACTCTATCCTGCTATCTACCCTCAAGCTATTTCTGCATTTTCAGAAGATCATCAACCAGTTGTTGCACATCTCTTACAAACACACCTACATGTCTCTGGAGAAGGGAATAATAAAATCTGAGTGGACCTTTGAATGACTGTGATGAACCATGTGGGATTCAATAGAGGACAGAGGAATGAACCTAACAAAGACAACCCCACAAGTTGCAGGAAATATATAAAAATATCACAAGAAACGGAAACAGTTGTGGATTCAGCTAGAGGTTTGTTTCTGTTGTATTGAGTAGAGCTACTGTTTCAGCTGGAAGGGATGAAAGTGAGTTGATGTTACGGATTCCATGATTTTAGTTACGAGAACTTTTATCCTTCGCTCTACCGCAGAATAGTAGCAAACTGAATTTTTTTAAGGAAGAAGATATGTGGAGCTAAGTTAATCTTGATGTCTTGTCATATTGCTCATACATGGTATGGTGGAATGTTTGTGAAGGGAGTTTGGTTCCTCTGCTTCACATGGGTGAATGTATTGTTAAAGCGCTGCAGAGAGAGTATATGATCTCAAGGATTAATTCGCTGTCAATTTTGTTTTTTCTTATATGAAAAAATAAACTATTCCTCAGTACAAAGTCTAATCGATACAACCTTTACGTATTACAAAACTGGTGCGGATGACTTCGTGACGTGAGATTGTACCTTTTAGGTACCACTCTTAACATCTAAATATCAATCAGCCTTATACACATCAAAACTTTCTTCCGTTTGTAGGAAGTCTTCTCAGTCACTCATGTAGTCAAAATCTTCAAAATCAGTGACACCATCAGCTGCTTCATCCCCTGATGCGTCTGCTTCTTCATCTGTCGCAATTGCTTCCTCTGTTCCTTCTCTTTCTTCCTCATATATCACTGGACCTGCACCTTCGTCTTCTTCTTCATCCAAGTCGTCCACAATCTACCATTAACACAATCAATAACGAATCAGTACCATACTCTGCAGTCCAAATGTCAATGTTCAAAGCGACCTCATGGCTTCAAAAATTGCGTGGTTTAATTCCCAAAGTGATCGTTGGAATCAAACAACAAATCTAATGCTACCTCTAGGCTACAAACTGAAATCAATTTGATCCTCCTAACAGTGTAATGCAATACATACCAAGTCCAAGCAGCTTGAAACTTACGGCTGTGTGAAGAGTTGACACTCGTGATTCAATGAGCTGCACCATACACAACCAATCAAACACATATCAATCATCATCTACCCTCAAACTTTCTGTTTTACCAACAGAGCAGTTAAAGCTTAAGTAACGAGACATAATCCCACTGGAATGAGTAAGTAACAATACACTTAATCCACGGAACCCGTACAAGCTAAAACCGCACCCCTGCAAAAATCAAGAAAAACATAAAAATCACCACTTCAACAGACAGCAAAACATATCTTAAACTCTCACACCTTGATTGAAGTATTGGCAGAAGAGAATTCAGAAGCTTGAGAGCTTCTGCTGAATTCAACTTAGCAACTGAATTAGCAATCACCTATTCATCTCGTTTGTACAAGCAATCAAGAAGAAGAGACCTGTCATCAGCATGCAACGCTTGTCTCAACAAAACGTTAACGGAGGCTGCAGTAGGAGGCTTATCATCGCTACTACTGCTAATTTTCTCTCCGCTTAATAAGTTAAGACTCTAGAGTTTATCACCTAACGTCGGCTCGTTGTGAGCGTTGTCTACTAACACTCCATCTCTATCTTCCTCAAGACCTATATCATGAAAGCAGGAGGTCAACAATTGAGCAGTGAAACTGAACAATTAGCTGATGAGACTGAGGATAGGATGAAAGCATCAGAACTGAGAAGATGGTTCGGTTTCTCTTTGGCCATGATCCGCGATGGACGATGGAAGCGGGAAGAGGAAGACACACCTATGGGTCTCTACAACATCTCTTCACTGTTAAGAGCTATGGGTTGGGTCTGGTTAGGTTTGGGTGGGTTTAAGTGATTTTTCGCTATTGGGCCGACGTAAGTCAATAGTTGGGCCACGTTTATGGTGCAATCTCTTCGAATATATATATTTTTTTTTTGTATAACTATTCTTTTTTGGCTTGGTTTATTATTACAAGACAATGGCATTGTCACCTGATTTATTATTACAAGACAATGGCATTGTCACCTGATTTCAATAATTAGACGTCTTCCTAAGAAATTTTGTTGAATGAGTATTTCTAGTAATAGTTGGAAGCCTGTCGTTTGATATTTGACACAGGCTAATTCTTCTTTACATTACCTGCATCATGCAGGATGCATGACAGTGGCAATTTGGCAAGATTTGGGATTTGTTTCTACTAGCATGTATTTGCAGGTATGTAAAATAACCGTATATGCCTTAAATTTTTTTAAATAATATGTATGTATATACATATATGATTATCACTTTCACACTACTTAATAAGAAACATAATATTAAAAAAAAGAAAGATAAGTAGAATAAAGAAATATAGTTTTGGATATAAGACTCAAAAAATGGTTTAGAATAAATATGAGATGTAGTAGATAATCACATAAATTTATCTTTAAATTCGTTAATTTTTTTGTAATACTGATTTAGTACGATACTATAATTATGAAAAATATTATGTAGACGATTCGATAATTGACCATATTACGTACTTTGAAGATTTTTACCGGATTTATTCTCACGAAATTGAAGATTCCTTTTAATCAATTCATTTATAGTTTGTATAATTGTTTACTAAATCATTTTTTTGTAACAGAAATCTAGACCTCTTAATGTAGTAGAAAACATTTAGAATTTATTAAGTTCAGGTAAAAATATTTGAATTTATTGATATATAGAAACAAATATGTCTGATTTATTTTAGTTGTGACTGAAGATATCTATATGAGTTATGTTAAGATTTGAATGAAAATACAAAGATAAATCATAATAGATTATAATTTCGATAAAATTAAACTTATGTTTTTCGTACGACGTGTATTGAATGTTGGCGGAAAAAAAAAAACTTTAGAAGCAGCATAAAAGGAAAAGCAACGGCAAAGAAAGGGAAAAATACAAATATGGTTAAATGGCAAAGGAAAGTAGAAGAGGGTGGACATCCACGAGGCCAGGGCATTATCGTCATTCCGTAAATACGTCTCAACGACGCCTATAAAAGCACATGACCACCTCACCAGCAATCTCACATTCACAATCACATTCACGCACGCGCATCTTTTATTGTTTCTTCTCTCCATCTTCCACCGTTTCATACGAAAACTCCTCTCTCTCTACCTTTCTCTCTCAAACCTTCTTTCTTTCTCCGGCCAGGTAATATTTTATTTTCCTTTTTTTTTTCTTTCTATGGGCGATTGATTGATTCCTCCTCGACGAATCTCTCGATTCGATGTTGCGGTTTACCGATATGATCAGAAAATTTCTGGGAATCAATTTTGGCGTTTGATTTTGTTCTTTTTAATTTTCTGGGGAAAGGATTGATATAATTGTTGAATTGCAATCGAATTGATCTGTTTTCTGCTTAGAAATCTGCGGAAACGAATGTTTATCTGTTGATTAGATGATTCTCGAGAAGTCTACAACTGTTTTTGATAAGTGAATAATAGCTCCAAATTCAATTGAATCGAGTTGATAAAAACATCATCTTCTCTTGCTGTCTGTTTATCGTCTCTTGTCGGTAATGTAACGTTCATTAGGACTAAGCTCGTGTTCTTGAGAAGGTTGTTGTTATCTATTCGAATGTAATTTAATGCTTTAGTTTTGGTTGTTTTAGAGAACTAGTCTATGTTCGATCCGACCATAACAGATTCATGTTCCTTGGCTTTCTCTACTATACAGACATGTATTGATTGAAATAGATGTCGATTGAGTTTTAAATTTAACCCTTTGTGTGTTGCTTTCAGTGTGTAAGATAAGATGCTCAAGGAACGACGGGTTTTACCGGTTACAAGCAACAGAGACAGGGTATCGCCTTACCCGCTACGCTCTTGCCGTAGCAAGAAACAGAAAGAAGTCGAGTCATCACCTCTCGATGCAGAGAGTGTGAGTGAATGGGAGGGCGTCAGGTGTGTGATATGCATGGAGTCACCACACAATGCTGTCCTCTTGCAATGCTCTTCCTTCTCCAAAGGATGTCGTGCTTACATGTGTGACACAAGCGCACGTCACTCCAACTGCTTCAAACAATACCGCAGAAACAACAGCAACAGCAAGAACACAAGCCGATGTACTAACAAGACTCTCTACTGTCCCTACTGCAGAGGAGAGGTTTTCGGGACGTTGAAGTCTACTTCTGCACGGAGATTCATGAATGCGAGACCGAGGTGTTGTGCTATGGACAAGTGTGATTTCTCTGGGACGTATACTCAGCTGAAGAGTCACTTGAAAGCTGAGCATCCGGGTTTTACACCTCCAAAAGTGGATCCTTTTGAGAAACGCAAGTGGGATGATTTGGAAAGAGCTGAGTTCATTGAGATGATAAACGCTCGGCAGAGATGGGAATCAGAACAGAGATCTGTCTATCAGCTTCCACACCACCATCCTATGATTGATCTCAACTTTGATGCTTTCATGCACAATCTTTTTATTGGTGTAAGGGGTCAAGCAAGTACTGCTGCCAATAGTCATGGTACCAGATGGACTCCGTGAAGATTCCAAGGGCCAAGTGTATGATGAATTCAATCGAATTTTTGGTTTTTATACAAACTGTACTCTCAGTGTTTAGGTGTTTTTTATAGTGACATCAGCTCTTGTTCTAGGCATGATTCTTATGTCGTTTGTATTTATGTTTGTGTTAGTCAAGTGTTCCATAGTTGCGAGCTCAGCTTCTTATATTCAGATGATTCTGTCTAAAAATCAAAATATACATTCACATTTGTTCATGCTTTGTTATAAGGTTGCAGTTTACATTCTTGTATAATGCTCAAGTTCTCGAGAAGATCCAGCACAGCTTCCGTAAGCCTTTCCGAGTATTATGAGGGACAGAGATTGCAACAGCTTTTATGTCTGCAGGGGATACAGCAAATATGCATTTTTTGAGGAGTCTGTTTTCGTTCAAACGCATAGTTAGAGCAAATGCTTCACTTCATCCTTCTTTATTGCATCCTCAACAGCCTACCCAAACAACACATTACCTTAACTAAAAACATCACCCGCATATAGAGTCCTAAAAGGGGAAATAAATTTACAAAAGGATCACATTCTGGTGTGACATCTATGTCAAGGTCGGTTGGATCAAAGATGAAGGACTCGTCGACTAAAGATATGAGAACTCCTTCAGTTGTTGCAGCTGCAAAGCTCCTCCCAGTTGGGGCTATGCTGAGGCTTTTTGTCCGGATAATAGAGAATAGGCCTGGATCCAGGCTGATCATAACACAACATAACTTGAAAAGATTATGGACTTGAATAAAAAGGTCAAGTCTGCAAGGTGGTAAGACTAGGTAATAATTGGGGTTTTGAAATTTTCAAGGGATGGAAAATGTAAAAAGTTAAAGGACCAAGATTCGGGATTTTGAACCCGACGTGAATCGAACACGCAACCTTCTGATCTGGAGTCAGACGCGCTACCATTGCGCCACGGATCCTTGGTGCTAAACATCTCTCCTTTAACATAAATAAAGCAAATTGTAAAATTACGAAACGTTTTATGTCTGTGATCGTAACTACCATCGTCGTCTCCGCGCGTTCTTCTCTGCCCATAGAAAACTTATAAAGTTCGCTCCTTTTATCATTTCTTCATCTCTCAATTTCTCTTCCCAATTATAGAGAGGTGTGATCCTCTTCAAGGGGACTTTCGTGGCAGCTCTCACATACATTCGCAGTACCGATCAAACCACTCCGATTTGAGATCCTCAAACGATGGGGGTTCCATTAGTTTGTCACGGGCATTCTCGTCCCGTCGTCGATGTATCTTACAGCCCAATTACTCCTGATGGGTTCTTTCTCATTAGCGCCAGTAAAGGTACGATCTTTTCTCTTTTTCTGACTCAGATTTGATTCAAGATCATCTTGTCTTGTTGCTGATCTGATTGAGAGAGAGTGAGAGATTAAGGTTATGATGAATTGATTTCATTTGTTGTAAACTATGGGTGATGTTTTGATGTGTTAAGATTCGATCCCGATGTTGAGGAATGGGGAGACAGGGGATTGGATAGGGACTTTTGAAGGACATAAAGGAGCTGTTTGGAGTTGTAGCCTTGATAAGAATGCTCTGCGTGCTGCCTCTGCCTCTGCTGATTTCACTGCGTATGTTGTTTCTTCTTTCTTTCTTCCGTTTCAAGATTGTTAGTTAACCATTTTGTTCTTGTAAGATGGGTTGTTTGCTAAAAGCTTGAACCTTTATGAGGAAGATTAAGACTGTTTGTTTGTGATTATAATACGTTTCAGGAAGATATGGAATGCACTGACTGGAGATGAGTTGCACTCCTTTGAACACAAGCACATTGTTCGTGCATGTGCCTTCTCTGAGGTAAGCTTTTGTTTCCAGCAAGAGTGGTACGACCACATTACCATTGTGTACTCAATGATGAGATTCTCTAAAAACTACTTTTGGGGTTTGAGGGTGTGTTTTTTTTGGTTCTGTTGTGATCTTAATCCATACTTCTTTACTTTCTAGGACACGCACCTTTTGCTGACGGGTGGAATGGAGAAAATACTTCGGATATTCGATATGAATAGGCCAGACGCACCTCCAAAAGAAGTAGGAACTGCTCCTGGTTCAATCAGAACCGTTGAATGGCTTCATAGTGATAATACTATCTTAAGCTCTTGCACTGATACCGGTGACATTAGGTATGTCATGTCACCACATCGTTTCTGTGTGTAGACTCCAGTCCTTTTAGTATAATTCCTGGTCTTATAATCCTTTTGGTATTATGTCCTTTGTAGGTTATGGGACATAAGAAGTGACAAGATTGTTCAAACATTAGAAACGAAGTTCCCAGTTACTAGTGCTGAAGTAAGTCAGGATGGAAGATACATAACTACTGCTGATGGATCTAGTGTTAAGTTTTGGGACGCCAATAAGTAAGTTTGCATAAGGCATCCTTAGTTACAATTTTATCATTTCTCTGTGTCCCCTTTAAGCTATAGACATTTTCTCCTCCTCTTCCCAGTTTTGGATTGCTGAAGAGCTATGAGATGCCTTGCAACGTTGAATCTGCATCCTTGGAACCTAAAAACGGGAACACTTTCATTGCTGGAGGAGAAGATATGTGGGTCCATAGGTTTGATTTCCAGACAGGAGAAGAGATTGGTAAGTTTTTCTTCATTTTAGTAATTTGTGTGTAGTAGTAGCCTTTTAAGACAAATCTGGTGAATGCAGGGTGTAACAAGGGTCATCATGGACCAGTTCACTGCGTGAGGTATGCGCCAGGAGGAGATTCATACACGTCAGGCTCAGAAGACGGGACGGTGAGAATATGGGAGGTGGAGACAGTGAACCACGAGGAGAGCAACAATCTGAGCGGTCACGTGAAGCTAGTAGCAGAGGAAGTTGTGCGTAAAGCTGAAAGTCTGCGTATCAATGAGAAAGCCACAGAAGTTGCTAAATGAAACATCGTTTAGCTTATGATAATACCAACATAGATTCATAGTTGTTTTTGCATCACTATAACATGTGACAGAGAGTTTTGTCTTTTAAATGTCTCCCAGACCAAATAAAACGAACATAGTCTAATCCATATTTTGACAAGAAGTTTTGTAGCTTTTGAAACAAAGGACATAACAAAATTTTTTTAGTCTTCCAGATATGTTACTAATGTTTCACTAGGTTTTACTAGGACCAGTCTTGCTGCTTAAGTGTAACACAATATTGGCCAATGATAATATCTACATAGTCTTTCGAATAATATTAACATGTAAACTTAGGAGTTTAAATGACTTTATCTTTCTTTACACGTTTCTCCTCACAAACACAACACAAAAACAACAAAAAAAAAGCTACTCAGGCCTGTGCAGAGGGAGAGGCAGTATCAACAGCAGCTACAGGCGTGAGTCCAGTCAACAAATCCTCCTGTGGCGAGCCAATCAAGAGTGATACAATCTCCCTCATAGTAGGTCGCTTAGCTGGATCAGGATGACAACAAGCCAACCCTAACTTAAGCAACAACTCAATCTCATCCCCAGTATCACACTCTGCCCTCACTCTTTCATCAGCCGCATTAACAACCACTCCTCCACCATACAAGTCCCTAACCCAATCCACAAGCACCATATCTTCCTCCTCCGCATACTCAATCGGTCTCCTCCCACACACCACCTCAAGCACCACCACACCAAAGCTATACACATCGCTCGCCTCTGTGGGAGACGAAGCAGACGCTAACTCTGGCGCTAAGTACCCAAGCGTCCCCACCACACGCGTCGTGTTTGGAGCTCCACCGTGCTCATACAACTTAGCCAAACCAAAGTCCCCAAGCCTCCCACGCATGTCGGAATCCAAAAGAATGTTGGATGATTTAATATCTCTATGGATCACAACTTGTTCCCATCCATGGTGGAGATAGTTAAGCCCTTCCGCCACGTCATTGATCACTTGTCGCCTTAACCGCCACGGCATTGACTCTTTAGGGTGGTCAAATATCCACTGGTTCAAGCTTCCGTTAGGCATGTAATCATACACAAGCATCAGCTCGTTTTTCCGACGACACCATCCTCTCATTTGGACAAGATTCTTATGCTGAAGACGTCCCATACTCTCTATCTCAGCCATGAACTCTCTCAGCCCTTGCTTCGAATCATGGTTCACGCATTTCACAGCAATCTCGTTGCTGTTGGAAAGAACTCCTCTGTAGACTTTACCGAACCCGCCGGATCCGAGAAGACGGTTGATGGAGAAAGAGTCTGTGGCAGCGGAGAGATCTTCGTAGGTGAAACGGTGAGGCCAGAACTCAAGCTCCCAGTCCTCAGCTTCTTCTTCTTCCTCTTCTCTTAACAGCTTCCACCAAATAAAGTAACCTCCTAAACCAAGTAGACATATAAAGAGAACACAACCAACAACGATCCCAGCTATTGCTCCGGTTGAGAGAGAAGAGGAGGGAGGATCAAGAAAGAACACTGGTAAACCTGTCGTGTTGATCTCTCGAGGAGGAGCTCCGGTGTCACTTAAGCTCCAAGCGAGGATTCTCCTAACTTCAACCCAGTTCGTTTTAGAAGCGGAGAAGCCAACGAACATATCTGCGGAGACATAATTCGCTATGACTGGATCACGGTAAGTGAGTGTAGGTCGGCGAGGTCTACGCATACCAGCAGGAGCGATAGTAACGTTGATCTCAAAATTCGGACCGTCAAAGTCGATCCAAGCGTGGATGTTTTGACCGTTACGCATGTTAACGGAAACAAAACTTCCGTTAACAGAATCATAGTACCCTGCTGGTTCAGCTTTAGTGGATAAGATGCTGTTGAGGTCAATTCCGACATGGTTCCCATCGATGTCGTTGACTTCAGAGTTCAAACCAGTGTCGAATTCCACTGCGAGGAGAGGAGCGGGGAGACGAGAGGGCATGTTTGGGAAGAGACCGAAGTTTTGGCTGGCGATGGCACCTGGAGGGGATGTGGAGTTGGAGAGGACGAAGCAGAGACCGAAGCCAGGGCTTGTGGAGATGTCTGGGAGGATGGAGAATACGAAGGAGGTTGAGAAGGAGGAGAGACGGGTGGGGTTTCGGGTCGGATCGGGGATGATTGAGAGTTTTTGCGGGTGGAAAACGCGGCCTAAGGAGAATTGGTTGGTCTCGTTGATGAGACGGATGACGGTGGATTCTACGCGGGAGTCTTCGATGAGTATGAGGTCGGTTATGTTTGATGCGGAGGTGAAGTTGTTGTAGAGGAAATCTATGGCGGAGGAAGAGGAAGGGAGGAGAGTGGTGAAGGTGAGGATGAATAGGAGTAGAGGTGGTTGTGACCATTGTCGCCACATCTGTAGAGTTTTTTTTTCCGGTGAGATATTGAATGTGAATATTTGAGGAAAGGGGATGCGTAGAGTAGACCGTCGATGTTCTTGTCTGTTTACCAAATTCGACAATAATAAGTGAAGGTGGTCAACGTCGGCGGCTTAAGAAAGTCAAAGGTATATTGTACAGTTTAGAAGAAACTGGGAAACGTCAAACAGATTCCCGACCAACTAGATCGTAGTTAGTTCGGGAATGAGAAAAAATTAATTAATTAAATTGAGTAGGCCTTTGGGCTATCGTAGCACATTAATGTAAACTTGACCCGCGAATAATAACGTTGAATAAGATTTCGGTGGGAGAGTATATAAACTTTTTTCGTTCAAATGCTAGCAGTAATATCTCCCAATTACTCGATCACTAAAAACTTAACGCAAGAATACAAGTAAATTTAGTTTATATGTTTTCTTGGATCATTGACTGGATCACATATTTTAAACAACAATCCTTTATATATTTCTAGTTCTTTTAAGAAAAAATATGTGATCCACTACCACTCTACTTGTATAAACCCTTTTCAGACATATATAGTAGAAAACGAGCCTTGTTTTTATACTATATCATGGGCACTCACTAACAGTTACTTTAACTCCTTTGTTAATTTATTTATTATATTGCAGTTTTTGGTTGTGAAGATCAAAAAGTTTTAGCCTAAGTTTCAAAAAGAAGATCAAAAAGTTATAGCAACAAAAAAGGATCAAAAAGTCATATATCACTCCATTTCAAACTCTCCACTACACCAAATAGTTTTATTAAATTTTCTAATCAGTGACAACACAACACCAAAATAGATACATTATATTATCAAAAAGTTTTATATCACTCCATAGCAAAGTCTGCACATCGAGACATAATATATATCTTGTAAAAGTAGGATAAGAATAACCGAATAAGATAATATAATGTATTTATTTTGGCCATTCTCTTATTTTAGGATTAAACATAGCTTCATATTAGATGTGATCTTTCCTTTTATTTTCAGACATTCTGTCAGATAGCAATCAAACAAAGCTGAATTGTGTAGAAGTATGGAAAATAACACCGTGCACTTTGTCTGTAATGTTAGTAACTTAGTATAGAACTAGGATTATTGCATGGGCATAGTATTGTTTGTTATACACTATTCTAAATTCAAAATTAATATTCTTAATAAAATTTTGATTAGAATTTATTAAATCTGAAGATAAATATAAATAGTTGTGAATGAAATAAAGAAATATTGAAAGTTTTATACCTATATCTAAAAGCTAAAATATTATAATTAACTAAAATATCTTTTTAAACAATTGACCTTAATCTCATTCGTACCGTAACAATATACCATGTTCAAATTCCTCATTAGTAAAATGAAGTTTTCAGACATTCTGTCAGATAGCAACCAAACAAGCTGAATTGTGTAGAAGTATGAAAAATAACACCGTGTACTTTGTCTTTAAAGTTAGTAACTTAGTATAGAATATACTCTATTTTTAGCGTTTCGGTCGTATAATTTCTTGGGACCCTCAACGCATAATTGCAAAATTTATGTTTTAGACGATTCGATAAGTGCCAGATTTTATATGTGGAATGCAGGTGCAAATACATTAAGACAAACAAGGATAATACTGAAATAATTTACACCAATTTGTAGTAATCCAAACTAACTAGTATATCAAAAATATTATTATGATATCGCCAACTATTATTCCTCTATGTGATTTCTAATCATTGAAAGAGCTTTATTGAAGTGAATTGCTTTTGTTCGAAGATACTCTGTCCACGTGACCGATCGGTATAGAGGTGCTTCAGCAGGACCAACCAGTTTTGGTACAGGTGATATCTTGGTATCAGACCGTGGACCCCAAAGGAAAGCTACAGATAACCGGGATCTGGTTTGGTTAACTCGAGCGCGGTGAATCACATTTTTAAACATGCCGTTGGAAAGGATGTGGAAAAGGTCACCAATGTTTACCACGAGCGAGCCTTGAACCGGTAGCACAGTGACCCAACCAAGATCATCACGAAATACTTGGAGACCGGCGGTATTGTTCTGGTGGAGTATGGTTAAGAGGGTAGAGTCGGTATGAGGGGCTAGACCCATAGCCCGGTCGGGTTCTGGACAAACCGGGTAGTGATTTAGCTGGAGGGCAGATTGGGCCCAGTTTAGTTCTGAACTGACACTGGCCCATTCAATGTCTTCTTCGCTGACGCCAAGTGACTTCAGTGATAGCCACATCAACTTCGATGCCAACTTTTGCATTTGTTCCTCGTACTGTTCAACGATGTCGCTGTTAATTAAAAAGAGAACGAATGTTATGCGTTAATTAGCACAGATGTAAAATTTGTACGTCCTTTTAAATAAACAAGAAAACAGACAAAACAAATTGTGTTTTTTTTTTTTGTTTTCTACGATACGATTAAAACATATATATCATCAAAACTTGAGGGGGTCCACTATGCTAGATTTTCATTACGATGCTTTTAACTCTTATTTCCTCTACTAACCTATCATGAAATGGAAAATTTTCAGTTGCTTTTGTTAATCATGTTCCCATGCTATTATCCAAATATCCAACCATTGTATAGTACATGTTCATGGCCTGTTTTATCATGTGTACGTAGAGCCGAACATAACTTCGATTATTTTTTAAAAATACTTAAATTGCTTTAGAGTCTATTCTTTATAAAACTTTGAATATAATCGTAAATTTAAAATCTATAGTTTCAACACGATCATTGTTTTTACATATACTGTTAATATTTTTTGAACACTATATATAATAAAATTTTATAACTAGAAGCAGATGATATGTACCAGTAGTTAAGGTGAAGTTGGGGCCAAAGTTTACGGAAATCGTTGAGAGGGGAACCGGTGATGGTGAAGCCTTCGGACCACATTTTCTTATTAAAGAAAGATGAGATACGAGCGACGCCGTAGCCAGAGAAACCTGTATCTGACCGAGCCGCTTTAAGCTTGCGTTGGATAGGTAGCTGAAAAAGACTACGGGTGAGAAACTCAATGCCGTGGAGAAGTTCCAAAGGCACGCCGTGATTTATGATCTGGAACGCACCCCAAGTTCTACATGCACGACCGATTTGGTTGGCCGCATCGGGGTGGTTCAGGTCAATGAGAGGAATGTTTTCACCAGCGGCCGGAGGGGAAGGAGCAACGGTGAAGAGGGGATCGTCTTTGGAGGTCCACGTGTAAGAATCCGGGAGCTCGCCGAGTGATGAGAAGTCAGGTTGGTGAGAGTGTGGGAGGTGAATGGGATGGCCTCTAAAGACATCTGTTAACATTGTAGGCATCTTGTTCTTGCAAGAAAAAATGTATTTTATAAAGTATTATTCTGATAGATGTTGTGTGTATTTTTCTTATGAGATATGTGTTTTGTGGTGGAAGATAATGGAAGAGTTGGACCGGTTTATTTATAGTGGTAGAGCCGAGATCAGGAGGAGGCAAAATCATATGTTAAAGCTCTAGTTTTGGGTCATTCGCATTGTGCTATTCGACTAGTTTATTCGATTAATACAATACGAACAAACCAAACCTCTAGAAAAATTATGGAGGTCCCGCCATTTGCTTCTGTTGTAAGTAAAATATAGATTATATGTTATTTGATTTATGCAAGGTAAGATAAATACGCATGATGGGTTGTCAAACTATTTATAGTCCAAATTGAATTGGTGGTATTATGATCGGTATATTCTTTCATATCTTGAAGTTAAACATTTTTAATCAGAATTTTTTTGTTTTGGAAAGTAAGCGATAAATAGATAGAGGCTAGTCAAATCATGCAATATAAAGAATGAGACAAATGTTTGTTTGTCTAATTATTTTGCTTTGTGGGCTAAACATGTTAATATCATAAATCAAAGGATAAGACTGCTAGATAAGACATAAGAGTTTTACATGGTAGAACACTCAATACAAGTTACATCTCTGGCAAACAAAAAAGAAAAAAAATAACAGAGATGGAATAACTTTTCCAATGGAGAGAGTGGTGAGTCTGGTGACGCTCTGATCAGCCAAGCCAACGGGACATCAGGTCCCTGAAATATTTCCTTCCCTTCCTTGCGTAAATTGTATTGCGAAATGCGAATGAATTTGAGTGCCTCCGGAGGAATGTGAATGTTATTATGGCGCACAATATTTCTTTGCTTCCATAGATGGAAAAGTGTGACTTGAGCCGTGAATAGTGGCTGAGCTAGAAAATATCTGTATCGAAGTCATAATTTAAATTAATATATTAAATTATTTAATAATATATTCTATTAATATAATTTCCAAGTATTATTATATAAAAAATTATAGATTAGAAAGGTGTTTTAGTTATAAGGGAAATATTCAATAAAACAGAAAATTAAAGAACTAAAATGTATTTTTAGAAGGAAAAAAGAAAAACAAATACAGAAATCAAAAGTTTTTTATGTGACAAAAGAAAGATATTTACTTTTTTCCCTTTTTTACCCTTTCTTTTGTATCACATGTTTCATGTCATGGACAAGTCGAAATATCAGTGTTATAAAAAAAAGATATTTGCTATAGGAAGTATTTTAAAAGAACAAGAAATATATGAAGTTGATAAGCAAATAAGAAAACATGTAATAAGCAATGGAAAAATAAAGAATTTAGAGGCAAACAAAAAACTAGTCAACTCATATGTTCGACTTAAATCAGGCTTTTATGTCCAGACCAAAATTATGTAACGGTAAAGATAAAAGAACAGTCAATTAGGTTCAGTAAGGAGTCTCGATTTTGGAAAGGGGTTCTTTTTGTTCAAGCCTAAGGGGGGGGTCAAGGCAAAGAATTTAAATCAGTTGAGCTAGGCTTAATATATTTATTCTACTAAAATATAAGGAAAAAAATACTTCTTTTATTATCTTATGTAAATAATTAGACATCATGTATAATAAAAGTGAAAAATAGAAATTACCTATTTTAAATTGTTTATTATATTTATTACATTTTTTCACTTTTACTAACTATTTTTTTATTACCTTTACCTAACGACAAAACATTTATTTTACATGTTAACTTAAGGTTTAAATGAAAGTTCTCCATCAATAACAATATTTCAAAACGGTTAGTAAATAATTCTTTATTTATTTACATAATTAGTTAGGTATGAGTATTTGAATACCGTTCAGTTATTTATTACTAGGTTCGTAGCTCCGCGCTTGCGCGGAGCCGGAGACAGTGATGATGCATTATAATATTTTATAGATGGAATTTTGTCATTTTTTTAGACATTTTTTTTGTTTGGGGTTTAACCGGAAATCGATTGAATTGAGTTGGTATATGAATGAGTGAAAATTCATATGCTTTGAAATATTCATATATTATTTTAGTAATGATTTTCTCGAATATTTGTGTTATTAGTGCTTTTATGTCTAGGATGGGTGATTTATTATGTTGTTATTGTCTAATTTGTAGGTTGGTAGTATATTATTGTTAAATAGTGAATTAGCATTTAAAAAAAATTAAGATTTTATTAAATTATACAAAGAAATATAGTTTAATGGATTGAAGAGAAAAATATGAAACATGTTTGTTAAGGGGTTGTATGGAATGTTTAGAGATCAATATTTATTAGTGAGTAAAGACCTGTTTTTATTTACAGATAAGAGTGTTTGACGAATTTGTATGTGTTCGTATTTCTACATTTTTTTACGATTTAATTGGATCTTAATGTTATTAGTGAGTTAATAACCATATGTAACCAAATATAGGTATTTGTTACTATACAACTATAATATGGGAACGAAGAAGAAATAATTTTGTTATTCGAAAACAAATATAGTTTGTTGTTTTCAATGTGCCATGACATGTTTTGAAAATATATAACTGTAGTTTAATAAATGCTAAGGCTTCGTATAATTATATACATGGTGAAAGGAATCTTAACTCATTTTAAACATTAACGGTTTACAATATGGGAAAATTGTAACTGTTGTAAACTTGAGGATTCTTCATATAATATGATGAAACCCAATTAAAAATGAAACTCATAATACACTTCTAGGCCTGAATTTTAAAGGAGGCCATAGATGTAAAGGCTTCCGGCTAAATATATATTAATTTCGGCCATCAATGTACAAGTTATCTTGTAGTTTAGTGGTATGAATGTTAGTGTTTGTTTCTTAATAACCCGGGTTCGAATCATATGTTTGACATTTTTTCACATTTTTTAAAATGGGATCCACCTAATGCTGATGTGGCGCGTTGAGGAGTCTTGAAACTCAACTATTATAATATAGATTTCTTTCAGATATCATTTTTTAGATTTGAAATTATGACGGCTTAGTATTATAAATTTTGCGTATGTTTTGAGTCTCATATTCGAATAGATTCGGTTCTAATGTATATGAATATAAAAATATCCAAATAACCAAAGAATTCGGATATTTACACCAAAATAACTATATCATTCAATTTAGTTCGAGTATTTTGAACACAATTAGTTACATAATAATATATCTAAATATATAACACTAATCATGAAAACTAAATATATATCAATTTATAAAAATATAAAACTAATATCCGCATCTGTACAAATCAAAGATTGCTTTTAATTTTAATATTAAAGTGAGATCAGATGACCCCTCCTTATTATGGAGATCCGCTCCTGGCCGTGAGGCAGCGAAGAAGCTTGGAAAAAGGTATTTGATTACTCTTTGGTCACTGGAATATAGTATAAATTAAAATTATTAACCTATCAAACAATTTATTGACGACATGCATCTTTACTGAAGATTGAAAAAAGTATACATTTCAAAAGTAAGTTATATACACAACTATGTAGAAAATTGCTACCACAAGTAAAAATTGTTTGTTGTGTTTCAAAAAAAAAAAAAGTAAAAATTTGTTTATTGCCCGCGTGTCAAAATAGTGATTGAAATGTAATTGTAAAAAGAGGAGACATAAAGAGAAGTGTTTTCGGCTCGGGCGAAAGAAGGAACAGAAATGGAAAGGCCGATGTTGTATTGGGCCTTCGACTTCAACATGTATTGTCCTTAATCCTTATCCTTATCCTATATTATAAATATTTAAATTGTTTCCTGGAAAGAACATAATTGTCTTTTTCGTAGAATCAAATGTCAATTTGTGACGAGAAACGAAGCGACCAGATTTGCTTACACTCATAGCACCATTTGCCTTTTCGCTACCTATTTAAGCCTCTACTGTTTTTGGCTTCTTACTCAATGGCAAAACATATTTTTTATCTGATAACGTGGATCAATCTAGATTCAAATTTGACATTCATCAATACTATGTACATAAACATACGCACCATATATCATAGGATTCTGTGGAGCATCTATTAAATAATGTTAAGCAGTAACGATAATCTCTAATTTTATATATTCATGTATGTCATAAATTAAGAACTCAAATATAAAAAAGTCCACTAACCTGTTGAATAGGTGTGAATTTTATAAATGGAATAATTACAGTTTTTACATTTTGTATAAAATAACTTGAAATGGATCAAACAATTAATCAATATCGGGAACCAATGAGATGCGAGGTAATAAAGATTGGGCTAGTTAAATAAAGATTGATGATATTCAACTTTAAAGATGGTGAATCATAAACATATCATAACGAAACAATCCTTAATGATCTCAATATCGTCTTTTTGTGTCGGTAAAATCCCGTCTTTTATTTTATTTTCATTTTCATTTTCGTTTTTAGTACTGTTTAATTATCTCACTCGGTGTTTTTTTTGGTACTGATATTACAATCTCACTCGGTGTTGTTGGTGTTTCGATGAATGTGATTAGGTGGAGCTTGGTGTTATTATTACACTACTTACATTACATCAAGATTAAAAAGAACAAGGCAAACATTTATGAAAGAAGTGTTATGTAAAGTATGCGGTGGTGGCCTATTGCAGGCGCTTGTAAGTTGATAAATAATTTAAGTTCAACAATATTTCATTACAGTTTAAATAGATATAAATTCATGGATATACTTGTGAAATAACTAAATGAATTTTTTAGACAGAGAGTGGAGAAAAATAGGAAGAAAGAAAAAGAATGAGAGTGAGAATTTTGGTTAATTAATGAATAATGGGTTTTTGTTTAGATATATGTTCTAATTTTCTTAAATTCATTGTCCAGAGACAATTTAAATATTGAAAAGAATGTTCATCCAGAGGTTACATCTACTCTATTAAAATAGAGTTATTCATTTTATCTACTGATATAAGTTATCATTTAAATTTGGACCCTTTTTAGAGTGTTACAAATAATACAAGTCATATAGTTGACTGAACCGTATTACTTAAACTAAACCGGCA